AACTATCCAGTCCAAGCACCCAGTGGCCTCTGGTGACTGTGAACTTAATCTTCAGTTCTGGGAAATGTGAACGAATTATGATCTACTTCCTGGGATCGGTTTTTATGTTCTTCTGTTGTTATTTTTGATTGTTTTGTTTTTTGGTTCTTTGTTGGTCATGAGCCCTGAGCAAAAACTTTCCCTAGTTCTAGTTTCTACAATTTAATTTTAAAAAATTCATCTTACAATTGCTTCAGAGACACTAGAATTTCTCACCCTCTTCCCCAACTATTATAATCAATCTTAAGTGTACCCTTCATCTTTTTTCCTTCTCCAAGGCTTTTACTGATAGCATAATCCTGTAATCTCAACCCCGGGAAGGCTGAAGTGGATCCTTGAGCTCATTCAAGGCTGACCTGGGCTTTGGCAAGAACCCAGCTTAGGACACATGCAAGGTGATCTTACCTTACATCCTGTGCTTGGACTTCGTCCTGTTCAAAGTTTTCAGTGGATGCTAAGTGATCCTTCGCTTCCTCTGAGGAGTGGAGCACTTTCAAATGCACCTCTAGATAGATAGTTTTATTCTCTGGTGAGGGTTACTGGAGTTTTCCACCCTGCCTGAAGGGTAAATCTCATCTCAAAGGGAAGAAGGCAGATGGATGTGTCCAGAGAACCATCACAGTTGCTTCAGAGACACTAGAATGGGCGAGTCCTGTGGCTGCTGGAAGATCTGTCGGTCTTTAATCAGACTTGAGACCAACCCGTCCTTTCTTCATTACCTATATGTCTACCAGTACTCGGGCTACCACTTACGCCATTAGGGGCTTTGTAGGGGTGTTTTGAGATCACCTCTGTGCTGACAAATACATAGTTTTCTTAACATTTGCTCAAACATGTAAAGCTCATTTCCTCTTAAATCCCACCCCACAAGCCCTGGTATTTAGAATTTCTGAAGAGTAATGGCGTGTGTGTGCATGCGTGTATGTGTGTGTGTGTGTGTGTGTGTGTGTGTGTGCGCGCGCGCGTGCGCGCGCGCGTGAACTTTCTGTATCTGGTTTACTAGGTATCTACTATCAGGTGAGTCATTTCCTGGGGTCCTGTTTTCTCCTTTTTAAATCTTTCCCTAAACAATATGTATTACAAAGTTTGGCCTTTCAGTCTATTTGTGCACTGGGATGACAGTCGCTTCATTATATGCTGTTGCCAAGTTAGAATTCAGTGTGTTGATTTGACATCAGTTTGTCCTGAATAAGTTCTAGTTACCAGGGTTTGCATTTTGCACATTAGAAACTTGTTTGTATGCTTTTATTCTTGGAACGTTTTTCTTTAGTTTAGACTACCTCTTACTTTGAGTATTGTGTTTAGGATGTTGAGGTATTAGGATTCTTGGGAACCAGAAAGACTGAACCCACTATCTAGCATAGTATGTATGTTGGTCTATGAATTACGCTTTTTTGATTTGGGGTTGTTTTAACCTACATTGTCAAAACTATAGATCCATACTTAACAGTGATAATGAAGTAGTTGTCCCTCACCCCTATTCCCCCCGACCCCCAACAGGGTTTCTCTGTGTAGCCCTGGCTGTTCTGGAGCTTGTTCTATAAACTAAGCTAGCCTTGAACTCACAGAGATCCTGCCTCTGCATCCCCAAGTGCTGGGATTAAATGCTTGGTTTGTTTGTTTTTAATTTTTATTTTTTTTTAACCCAAAATTTGGCAAGGCTGAAAATGAATCCTATATTCACTGCTAGCCACATTAAAGTTGTTAACAGTTGAGAAGTCTTGTCTGAATTTCCTTGGGTAAAAAGATTCTAGCCAGCTAAATACCCTATTGTGCAAATTCAATTTGCTGTTCTAATTTGCTGTCAGTTACCTGTAATCTATTAAGTTGTAAGGAGGTTGATTATAATGTACTTCAAACAGGCCTGTAGACCATCTACAACTGCATCAATTGTATAGCATTGTTGCCTGGGATTCTTTATTTCACGTACATTCCCAAGTATTAGCTATGGTGATGGCTATAGTCTGGAAGAAAAATATTCAGAAGATTGTTAGCATTCTAGTGAGTATACATGATGACAGCAGTAAGTGGGGGAAGAACAGCAAGTGGCCATGATTGGAGACTTTCTGACTTTGTGGCTTTTAAGTTCTATAGACAGTACAAACCTCTGTATGGACCTTGACTCTCTTATCAGTGACATGAATCATTATTGCGTTATAAAATAACTGACTCAAATTGTCTTGCTGTTGAAGTCTTGAGTTGGGCTCATTATTCATTTACCCTGTTGCCTTGAGCACCTTGGAGTCTCAAGGATGTCTGGTTGTGGTGGCTTTATTGTAAACAGTCTTAGTTTAAGAGGGAACTGTGTCATTTGGGAAGGTGAAAAATGATACTTCCAAGTTCAGGGGAAAGACCTTCAAAAGTAGCATAAGGAGGGAAGCCCTGAGTTAATTCCCCAGTTTAAGAAAGAGTACTTAACAGTGTTTCAGAATTAGATTCTATGGAAGGTGAGGGTGTTGGAGCAGTCCAAATTTGTTATTGTAAACTTGCAGTGGGAGGAATTTTTAAATATACAGATTGGCACTTATTAACAACACTGATAGAGGTTTTAGAATTCTATTTCGGGAAATGATGTTGGTAACACTTCAAAGTTAATTTGTATATGTTTGTAATTTGATTGGTTGTATTCTGTTGCACTCTAGTATTTGAAGGCAAGGGTACTTTGGCTTTTTATTTATTTTTCTAAAGGAAAAATCACTGAAAGAAACATCAAGAGATCTGATCAAGATCCTGAATGTGGCATTTAACATGTCATGGAAATTGCTTTGAATAAATACTAGAGAAAAGGATTAAATAATTGCTGTTTTTGTTATTGTATGAATGGGTGTGATTATACTGAGCTTAATTACATTTATATAAAACAGGTATGAGACTGAAGTGGAATCCTTATTAAATGTGGAAGATGGCCTTTGAGTATTACAGTAGAGATTCAACTAAAAGAGTAAATAAAACTTTGAAACAAATTTGTTGTAAATTGCTTCTACAATCATTGATCTATAAAGCATGCTATTGCCGATCAGTTTTATGTATTAAGACCTATCAGCATGTCTTTTAGTACTTGGTTGACTTCATTTTACATTATAAGATG